GTTCTGTAATGCGGTGACGGACCTGCCGAATTGTACGCCCTATATAACTGGCTCCACAGGAGCAGTTGGAACAATAGATACACATAGATTTGGCGAATTCTGGAAATCTGTCTTTAATGTATGTTCTTATTTTCGGGTGGTTGTAGAAGATGACATTTAATTTGGCAGCATTAAACGTTTTTTGTACAGCTCTTCGTAGTTTCTGAGTCATGACTTCTTCAATGGTGTCATTTATGAATTGTAGTTCTGTGAATAATACCTTCTTGGGGACGGTGGGTATTTTTGTCCCTGTTTTCTACCCCGTCGTATGTTTGTCGATGAATTTCATGGGTACCCATTCAGACTGAGTAGGTTCCGAATATTGTTCAATTCTTCTTCAATGGTATCTTCAGAGTAGATCATTCTAACACGATGCGTCAAAATCTTTATCAAGCTCCTTTTGTATCTGATTGGAACTGCACTGTGAAAATGAGTGTATTGACCTGCTGCTGACTTTCTGTGTACCCTTCTTTTTATAGTTCCGTCTGTTCTTCTAGTTAGTTGGACGTCTAGAAAAGATATGCTATTATTCTGTTCATATTCTGATGTAAGGTTAATTGATGGATGAACGTTGTTAAATATATTGAGTAAATTATGCTTATCATTTTCTTTTTCTGATACTATGAAGGTATCATCTATATATCGATAATAAGTTGGTAAATGGGTAATTGTACTTTTAAGTGGTCCATTTTCCAGTTTTGCAAGGAAAATATTAGCCAGTAGATGGCCCAATGGTGATCTCTTTTCCGCTTTTGCGGAATGTATTTCGATTATGTAAAAAAATTGTTTTTTGCCTCATTATTATTTGTGGAAATCATAAACTCAAACTGTATTAGAATTTTAACTAACATTTATTCTGATCCATTACTAGTATTATGTCAAATTACCAGTTCTCACGAAAGTATAAAGAATTGAGATTTATGAACAAATGTTAAAATTACACAATTACTATTCATCCTGAAGTACTGTTTTATAACTCAGGATCCTATAATTATTAAAAAAGCATGTTTCATGATGCTCATTATGGTTACTGCAGATATTTCAGTGCCCCGTTCATTTGACTCTGATTTGATCGAATGATGATGTGAATGAAATACACATCCAGCCTAACCTTGTATACAATTATATACTTAATTAGCATTGGAGAATAACGGAATTAAATAAGTCATCTACGAGTATGAATATTGGTCACGTATATTTCATACAGTCCTTGGCTCGGACAGACAATATGAGGGGCAAAGAGAAGCAGAGAATGTGACTGTTCCAACTTAATTTGATCAAGCGTCATTTCATCTACGAATTAACAAAAGCCATTACTTCATATAATTATATAATATTGAATAGAGTTCAAATAATCTGCACTAATATTGTACCTAAATAGGGGACTACATATAATATGTAATTGATAATTAGAATTTACAAAGCTTGTAAATAGAAAGTTAGACAATAATCCTGACAGACTGAGTCAAAAATTTTATTTATTCATTTAGTCTTCAACCCAGTTCGTTTTCATTTACATTAAGTAGACAATAACCCATTAATACTTATCAGTTTCTAGGTTTTAATGTAGCTGGAATATTTCTACCTCTTCACTCTGATTGAATATTTTTCAGCAGCGCTGTTTAAGTTCAGTCGGCCAAATTGGAATGCAGTAACCAGTTCAAGTGACTTAACGTCACATATACCATATTTCGATGTTAGTTAGTTGGGACTAGTCGGTAAGAAAACCTGGACCTAGATTTTGAGGTAGTTAACCCACGTTAGAAAGGCGAATCTGTAATCTTGAAGTGACTAAAGAACCCCATAAGACTCGCATTTCATTTACGCAGAATCACAGTCTGAGATGTTACTTCAAAGTTGTATGTAGATTAAATGACCTTCTGTAAGATTGAGTTATATACACTGATCACTGTATAGTGACCCATGTCATTTTCGTTTAGTCTTTTTTGTTGGTTGAATTTCATGCCTTCCATTTTGAAATGTTATAAAGGTTGTGGACTTTAGGTACTCAAGGCAGAGACAAAACAACTACGGAATGTATAGCTAACTTATCAATTTTTAGTATTCATCTGGCGATGCTATGCAAAGAAGAGAAAATGAGATAAAAATAAAGAGAACTCAGAGAAGATTTTTTTCGATGAAATCGTCTAATTAGGCGGTATATCCGTATTAACAGCTGTATAGTAAATATGTGTCTATTGAAGGATAGAGAAGATTGCATCATAAATTGATTCGAGACTCTTATTATCAAATGAGGTTACGTAATAATCAAGACCTAAGAGAAGAATATGAGTCTGGGAATAATTTAAGGATCAGAATTACGGAAGATAATTTTCCACTTGACAGATATGAAGAAAAACGAAAAAAACAAAGGTTTTAATAATAAAACTGAATAATAATCATCAAAAATTCATCGATTTAGCTGAATAGTGATGTAGTTATTATAACTTCCTCTATAGTGGCGGCTAATTCTGTTGATGCATATAAAGTAGGCAAATCAAGTAACTTATCCCTTGTTCAAGTAAATACTATTAGTTGAATAAAAATGTTTATTTACGTAATCCATTTCATTTTTCTTTTTATTGACCCATAAACTGTCTTTATCGGTTTAATATTTTATATATATTTCTAAATTCATTTAAATATATAAATATATATATGCTAATTACTATTTTATATTAGAGTACAGTTTAATAAAGAACTAATCGGAAACATTAGTCTTCGATTGTATGCGTTATTCTACCTTAAAATGACGGGAATTTATTTTTTAACTCATCCTTATTTGAAATATATCAATGAAAATCATATAAACGACTGAAATCAGTCTACTTTGTTTTCTGTTTATTTTTTCTTGTAAGTACACCAACTAACTTTCAACTAAGAAACATTCAATGTTTATGGCTTAAGGATACGTAAATTTTTGTTTATTTATTTATTTAATTTTTTGTGTATGTTGTTTTCTGCTAGTGTTCTGTTTGTTTGTTTTTTTCTTAGGAGATGATAATTGTGGTAATGAGTAGTATTGATTTTCTCTCAAATAAATTCATTCAAGCATTGGTTCACTTTTCATTTAATTGTCCATTTATATATTAGTTATTCATTTTATTTGTTTATTTAAGAATAATAATGATAATAAATAAATAAATAATAATAAAAAAGAATGATGACGTTAGTGTTCGATCAGATACAACAGTCATAGCAATAATAGTAATAATATATACGAATATTCGTCAAGATTAGAACGAATAGTTTGACAGTAATTGAGCGCTGAGTATAGAGAAGTCATTATATGTGAAAATTATATTTGAAATATTCTCAGCGATTGAAATTTAACTAATTCCAACGTTTTGATTATTACCCTGAAGAAGTCCAGACAAGTTAGCTGGACGAAATGTTGGAATTAGTTAAATTTCAATCGCTGAGAATATTTCAACTATAATTTTCACATATAATAGTAATAATAGTTTCTAATGATAATGATTCAGGAGTATGAAATTCCGCAATAAATCATTTTGAATCATTTACATCATAATTGTGTTTGTTTATTCATTGATTGATAAGAATCATTGAAAATTTTATTAAAATTTAATTTCTTGAAAATACAATGAGAATTTTCATTGAATCTTAGGAAAATGGTTGGCTACAGAATAATAATTTTTTTAAAATATTACTTGACATTTTAAAAATTAAAATGCCATTCAAAGTAACTGTGTTTACGACAATCTTGTAACATTCCGATAATGCAATGAGAAGACGAAGTTTATTAGAATTATGTGATATATTTGCGCAATACATTTCGAATAATCTGATCACACCTAATATACTTTTTAAGAACATTTATATATGAAAATTAAAAGGTCAACTAGACAGGTCAAACGTAAGTCATAACAAAGGAAAAATAATAAAGTGTGATTGCCACTCTGGATAATAAATCAGTACTACCAGGGTAGGTTAAGTGTAAGGACAAATTGTTTTTGAACACATAAAGGAGGTTTCAATTTGTAACAGTTTAAGTCTCATTGTCAATCAATTAAAAATTAGCTGATATATATGATAAATTTAGATTCAAAAAATGAAGAGCATAGAATTGGCGATATGTATGTATTGTTTAAATTTTCTTTATGAAAAAAAACTAATTCTTAAGACATTGATAAAACTATTTATCATTATGATTTGAATTGTAATTAGAAATTAAGTCTCAGAAATATTGTCAAGAAACAGAGAATTAAGCAAAGAATTGTGAATTATGGAATATCAGAAGGAGTTTGTGAGACTGATAGGTCCTGGGTTCGAATCTCGCGGGGTGCGGGATCATGGATACGCACTGCTGAGGAGTCCGATACTAGGACGGAACGGCCGTCCAGTGCTTCCAGGTTTTCCATGATGGTCTAGCTTCAATTGACTCATGATTTCAATCTGTGAAGTTATGGAATAATACTAAACTTAATTGTTAGAGCAATGTCTAAAATACAATATCATCAAAACAGAAAAATTCTATGTACATTCTATAACAAGAATCTATTGATTTCTGTGTAAATTAAAAATTGTATGAAATATACGTATTCAAAATTCTTTCTTGTATTTGATTTATTTAATTCCGTTATTCACCAACGCGATCTAAGTAGGTGATTATATAGAAAGATAGCCAGGATGTATATTTCGACAGCAGTTATTCAATAACAATCATTCATACGATCCAAATGAAGTCAGATTTAAGGCCACTTAAAGTCAAACTAATATATTGCTTTCATTTTCTAACTTTATTATGCGATAACTCTTTATAGCTGATAAAATTTTCAATCTAAGTGAAGTAGTCATTTGTGTTCATCTGTCCTTAACATAGAACTAAATTACATGATTAATAAATTATAATCCTATTGTTTTTTTATTCATTTAAAATATTTTTGTTTAAAAATATACTTAACTAAATTCTGTTTGGATCTTTCATTTTTTTGATTAAGAATAAAGCATGTGGTTCTTTTTGGTGAAGGTGCTGGAGCGAACATTTTGGCACGGTTTGCAGTAAGTTTTATGATTTATCACTTATGAATATGTAAATTGATAAACAATATTATTCTATCATAAATATATTTCATACTTGGTTAAATATTTACTAGAAAGATTACTTGTACTTGTTTATGTATGTGACTAGAAGAAACCTCACAAAACTGTTTAAACAATATCTGTTCCCATATGTCACTAATGTGACTTTAAATGGTTGTGATGATACATGGGATTGGCTATGTAACATTGTTCATCAACCAATAACTTAGAATTTAAAACCTGTACGTATGTTATAGTTGACCTAGCGATGATATATGTTGCCCATTTATTGATGTCATGTCTAGTTGAATGTAAGTGATAATTGAATTTATCTGGAAGCTATATCAAGTTATAACTATCTGATAGCAAATAATTTGAATGACTTACTCATACATCGATTCTGGGTAGGATAATTGTGACATAGCTCAGTAACACGTTTTTAGCTAATTTACTATGATTTACGATCAGCGACAGTTAAACAACCTTTTATCAAGTCACGTGAAAACTTACAACTTGAACAGTATAAAAATACTACGAATATGTAAGTTACTAAATACAATACCTTCTTCTTGCACTATTTCCTTTTTGTGCTTCCTTATAACAGATATAGATACATATTCTTGTATCATTTCCTAAATATTATTGATTCAATTATCATACTTTCTTTCGAAATGTCATTCTATACATCATTTTTTCTCTCATCCTAGTGTCCCGTTTTGACCAACCTTTGCTTGATATTCAGTGTCGTGTATTAGCATACAACATATGGAAGTATTATACACTTACAATTGTTACAGTTCAGACAACAGTTAATTTAAGTTATATTAATTTATATTGTAACCGATGATAATGACTTGCTTATGATTTATTCGTTTCCATGTATATGATAACTGAACCAATTTATGCCTTTGTATGAAAAAAATAATAAGATCCATTGAAAGTGTTATGTTGAATGGTGTGCGTTTCTGATGCACAAGCTTTTTATACCCAAATTCAAATAGCTACTTGAATGAGAAGGACGAGAATGGGAAGAAAGCTTTATTGGCCAGACTGAATGGAAGACTAACTATACAAGCATTTAATAGAATGAAAATAATGAGGAAACAACTAACTATTAAATCGTAAATCATACACCTATAGGTAGCACAAACAAGAAATAGTTCTGAGAAAAACAATCACTTTGAAATTCGAAAATACGATATCTTGAATAATTTAAAAAACACTTACTGCTGAATTATATACAAAAATAATAATTTGTCGTGTCTTCGAACACATTACGTATGCTGAATCAACGTCTGAAATGCTTTCTGGAATAGTAGTTTAGACAAGAATGTTCAAACAAAAACTTTGCACTGGTTCATGAAGCCAATGATTGTATGCTTGGGCCACGATAGCAGATGCAGACTACCAGTCTAGTGTCAGCTTAATCATTATAACTGATAATCGATGACATTGATCACAGTGGCAGAGATGTATTTGCACCTCACTTACAGTGTATTTCATTCCGTGAATTAATTCTTTCTCCCAGAATTCTGAAGTTATTCTCAACTACGTGAACATTTCAGCGTGGTCCAGCTTATCACATCGGAAGAAAAACACAAGTTTATTGAAATTTAGGGCTTAAAGTGGAAATTCTAATGAAAAACACAACCTAACAGATCAGCCAGCTGTCCATATGGACATTAATTAATCAGTGATTAAATATGTAGCTTCGAGGTAAAGATTCGATTATATTCACCATCAATATTTGAAGTATGGAAGCCAGAAATGAACGAATGATATATTAATTACTTGAAATATATCTGAATCCAGAATACTGAAACGGATGAACAAATGTTTTTTGGAAGCGTGTTTAATGATTAAGATGATTGTGCATTACACTTTCACTCTTGTTAGAGCAATGTACCTCATTTGTAGTATTTAGATAGACACATCTAAAGAATCAATAGACTTTTTTAAGTTAAATAAGAAGCATTCATCATCTCGAAACATTGATTGATGTTAATTACATCAGTTGTAATTTATCATTCCGTAGACAGTTTGAGAAGTATTATGAACTACGATTCATTCGTTATTTTCTCTCACTTACATGGTGTTATTTCGAACACCATACGAAAACAGTAGTCCTTCTAACAGTATCGACTTTTTTAGATTTAATGGTCATAATAAGTGGTGGTCAGTTATAAGATTTATATCAAAGATATACTAATAAATAGATTTGCCATCCTCTCTCAGTAAGTTAACTCTTAGTAGAAGGAAAAGATTACAGTAATCAGTAATTACTATAGTAATTGGTTGTTTCATTAATAAATAAGCGAACTCTATCGTTATTCTGACAGAAATTAATCTGGGATATTTCAGCACTACAATTGTGTATTTGATGGTTCTTATTTTACATGCACATTGACGATTCAGAAACAATTTCAACTTTCAACTTGCACATTTATTCTTACTTCATATAAAGACAAATTTAACACCTAATATCAACTATTAATAACTCAATCTTACACACACACACACACACACACGATTCATTCACCCATTTGTTTTCACATTGTGAACTTTTCCCATGATTTGCATGTAACCGACTCATGATATCCTACTTCTTAAAGTTAACATGTGAAATAATTGTGAAACACTATATATTTCATTGATAATCTTGTTTTGATTATCCTGAAGAAGTCCAGATAAGTTAAATGGATGAAATGTTGAAATTACTTAAATTTCAACCCCTGAGTTTATTTCAAATATAATTTTCACATACAGTAATCAAAGTTGTCAAACAGAAGTCAATAACTTATAAAATATACAATTTCAGAATATTAAGTAACACATAGTAAATCAACATAGAATAAATTATCACCATAAGGTGATTGTTTGGTTAAGTGGGTTTTTCAACCATCATAGACAAAGTTTCAGCCATAAAGAAATATTGCTTAACTATTTCATTTTCTGATAAATAAAACGAGATTTGAGTTTTAAACGGAACAAAAGATTGTCTATTCCAACTGTTTATCTAATCCTGTGTATAGATATCATAATTACCAAGGTAAATAAACTCAGATTTGATGTTTGCAACCTATATGTATGCATATTGGTTTAATAATCAATATTATTTTCTAAAAGAATCATCATTGTAAAATTGTAAACTGGTCTAGATAAATAATAGGACATTTTTAGAAAAAATCTGATTTTCGACTAATTTACCCATAATCCTTCTCACCCTAAAATTGAGATTTAAAATCTACACTTAATTGTTCTGTTTCCTTTCTTGTATCCGTGAGAATAAACATATGTCCACTATTATATTGTTATTGGTGATTTTTTCTATTATTCTCTTATGAAAATTAATGAATAAGAAAATTTTACTGATAATTTATTAGACTGATATTACCGGCTAATTAAAGGAAAAAAATAAGCGAGATAAAAGAATGTTACTTTAAATACCTAGTTAAGTTTTAGTAAGCAATTATTTAATAATTAGTATTTTATCAGAAGGGGTTTTGTGGACGTTTTTGAGATTGATAGGTGCTGGGCTCGAATCTCGAGGGGGGCGAGATCGTGGATGCGCACGTCTGAGGACTCACATACTAGGACAAAACGGGCGTCCAGTGCTTCCAGGTTTTCCATGGTGATCTAGCTTCAATTGACTTATGATTTCAAGTATAATATTTATTTTCAGATTAAATGGGATTCATCTTCAAAACCCATTTAACGTATCTAAACGAAAACGTTTTTTGTAAACCTGAAAAACAAAAATAGAAACTAAGAAGGATAGCGAACTAATAAGTGTTAATCAAAGGCTAAAATGATTCAAATACCATTTCTCACTTAAACTTTCAAATATAAACAGTTTAATGTAACGCAGTTATATTAGTAAAGCATCTAACAATACTCTACACATTATTCTTGGCGGTATCAACGCTGCAGTTATCCACTAATGACATTAGATGATGATGGTACATTGTTGAGAATCAATTAAGTTACAAACGTGAACTATTAAATGCAAACTCGGTAGTCTGAAAGTTTAGTTCTCGTCATGACTCCCGTAAGTTTCGGGTTTGATGTGGTGGTGGATGCACACTGCCAAGATGTCCTTATATTGAGATAAAGTAGGTCTTCAGTAATTCCTGATTTTTTTATGTTAATAAGTAATGTTTCATGAAAAAAATCATAGTGTTTTACAAACGTGAGCTTACATAATTTAATATCTCACATGGAGAGAGCAACTGTCACCATGTCTCAAATTAGAATACTCTAACAAGTATAACTCGTTATCTCTTGCCTAATAACAGTAATCAAAAATTTCTGTGCAATGAAACATCTATCTGTTTATCGACTTTTATTGTCTACAAGCGTTCTCAAATGTTAATGTTTGTAAAAATAGCTATTAATGTCCAGAGAACATTGAAAAATCAATGTAAATTCCAGTGGATTATAAATATAGGATGGAGTCGAATTCTATCATTTTATGCTTTATATGATCAATATCAACCTTTAAAATGAATAAATGAATGTTATTAGACGATTATTAATAGTACAACACACACGTTTTTAATTCAAGTTAGAAAGTAAATCGTAGTGAAAAAGAAGACATGTGTTCTTTCTTATTCGAGACTTATTAGCTGGATCTACGTACATCTCATTGTTGATTTTTACACTTGAACTCAGCTTATTTCAATCCCACTGCTGGCCACTATCCAACTAAATAGCAATATGGAGTCAATGAGCTCAGGATGCATAAATGCCTGAAAGAAACTAAAGTCGAATTGTTTGTTATTCTTAAAAAGCATTTTTTTCAGATCTTTACTTGTTTAAAACAATTTGTCGTTTCTTATGGATTAACCTATTCGCTCAACAGAATATGAATGTTGAGCATATGCAAATTAAATTTTGGTGCTTTGGATTTGTAGGGATTATCATTCTGTAGAGTTTGCTTCCAAACTGACTAATTGTTTTGTCTCAAAATATGATCAGTC